TCTCCCTCTCTTTCTCTGTACCCCCTCCCCTTTCCTGGCCGGTTCCCCATTTCCTTGAAAACAAATAAAGCTAAAGAAAAAGAGTTCTAGTTGGCCGTACGCCGAAGTTCGCCAGTTCCTGGATCCAGGAGCTGCCCTCACCCATAAAGTCGTTGTTCGCGCAGAGGTGGTTCTTTATCAAATGGCTGGGTTCTAGGTCAACCAAGCCTTCAGTGGGTGCCCGGAAATGTTATGGGTAGTGAATGCGACCAGTGTGATGCTGACCATATCACACATCGAGTGTTGGGTTCATTCCGAGTTTTCGCATTCTGAGCCCTGGAGGGATCAGTTATCAACACAGCTTTTAAAAATTTTATTTATCAATTGTTTTTGTTTTAACTTGTTCAGATTTCTACCTTTCATCTTTTTCCAAACACTGTCGTACTTATTTAGTTTCGTGTCATAGTTCTTCTTGTCAATATACCCCCCCCCCCTCCCTTTTTCGACCCAAATCCCGAGTATAGTATTGCTTTGTTTTAAGTTGACCTTGGTTGTTTAGAAGCACTGCTGTTTTGTCTCCTGATTTTTCTAATCAGACTTTGTATTTAGTACTCAGTTGATAAAGACTTTGGTGGGAAACGTTGGATTACATTTGTGACCGCCTTTTCCGTTGAGTTTTCTAATAACATTTTTTACATTTTTTGTTTAAATCTCACATTTAGCACTTCTTATTTAAAATTAAAAAAATACGGACTTACTATCGTATGTGTCAGTGACGGGACAAGGCTCACTTGTTTTGTACTCAAGCTTGCAAGTTTGACATCGCCTTACACTGAGGAATCAAACACACAGCTATTGGATCCGCACTCATGGATGTAGAGAGGGAGAAATAGACATTCGAGGGAATCAAACACACAGCTATTGGATCGGCACTCATGGATGTAGAGAGGGAGAAATACAGATTCGAGGGAATCAAACACACAGCTATTGGATCGGCACTCATGGATGTAGAGAGGGAGAAATACAGATTCGAGGGAATCAAACACACAGCTATTGGATCGGCACTCATGGATGTAGAGAGGGAGAAATACAGATTCGAGGGAATCAAACACACAGCTATTGGATCGGCACTCATGGATGTAGAGAGGGAGAAATACAGATTCGAGGATACGCTAAGCCGCATACAAATTAACGGTGATCACACGAAGATTCGAACCCCAGCACTTGTGACAGGCAGGCGATTGACTCTCCGCTGAGTTACCGCGGTTGAATCCTAACTACGTGGGACCTCAGTAGAAACGTCATGCGCCTCCGGAAAACTCTCAACAAACTTCAGCGCAGAGCAGCAAGCAATTATTGATTCAGACAAAGTGCTCAAGAAAAGAAAAATTAAAAACAACAAAATTGTTTTCGTTTGTGACTGCATGTCAGTCCTCCAGGCAACTCATAGGGATCCACGAGACAACATGGAGAGAGAACTGACCCGCAAGCTTAACAGACTCGCAGAAAACAATCAGATCATTCGCCAGTGGATCCAGGCTCACTGCGGCATACCAGGAAATGAGTTAGCAGACAAGACTTGCGAAAAATGGAACAAAGAAGAAACAACACACTGTCATTACCAGAAATCAGAACACTTATCAAGCGAAAATAAAAGGAATTGTAGAGAGAACAAACTAACAGTAAACATCCACAAGATCCCATCAGCAGACGCATCAGAAAGCAACATACAACAATTTCCCGTCTACGAACAGGACACTGCAGGCTCAACTACCACATGCATAAAATAAACATTGCACAGTCCGCACAGTGTGCCTGTCAAATAGGACTACAAACACCTGAGCACATTCTGTAGACCTGCCCATTCTACATACAACTTTGAAAAGACACCTGGCCTCAAGAGCAAAGTGTGCAGAGCAAGCTATGGGGAACCATGCAGGACCTGCAGCTGACATGCGAGTTCATAGAGGCAAGCCACCTGATGGTCTGATCTGAGCATACGAAACCGAAGAAGAAGAATAATCCAAACTATGGAAGGACTTTAACTCTTATCCAACCATCACCATGGGTTTGATCTTCTTCCTTGTTCTTTTCTCTGCTCCTGGAATGCCTCGCGGCGTCAGGAAGAAAGAGATCTATGGAACAGGCCCTTCCGTTGGTTTTGTATAAAGTACCTTTCAGCGTCTCTGATATTTCTGCGGTCCATCTTCTGCGTGGTTGGTCTCTGGATCAGCTCCGCGGTATCTGTATACTGGTTTGTAAATTAAACAAGCATAAGTAAGGTAACAAACACATGAGATCGCGTAGTTGTGTTTGGCATGTCGCTTACCTTTAAAGAAACGGCATGTCTGACTGGTTCTAGTGTATTTGTGTAATATACAGACATATACTGAAGGGACGCTTTGAAGACAGGGGGCAAGAGGTAGACATCTTAAAAGTAGGTGGGATAACATCAAGAGATGGACGAACAGCAGTCTGAGGGAATGCACATCCAAGTGGAAAGACTGTGTGTTGAGAAACAATTGTCGTCAGCCGCCATTGCGGAGACAACATGTGATGCTTGACACTTTCGTGGCTTTTTTTTAGGCACCGCAAGATGTCTAAACAGGTTTTGGTACCCACCACAGAGTAGCTGTTACAGTAGCGCAGAGGTGAGGCGGAAAGGAGGGGGGGGGTGCTAAATTAAAGTGCCGTTGAGCTTGGGGGGGGGGATAACTAAATAAGTTTCAGTGGACCAGGGGGAGAACTAAATAAGTTCCAGTCAACCAGGGGAAGAACTAAATAAGTTCCAGTCAACCAGGAGGAGAACTAAATAAGTTCCAGTCAACCAGGGGGAGAACTAAATAAGTTCCAGTGGACCAGGGGGAGAACTAAATAAGTTCCAGTGGACCAGGGGGAGAACTAAATAAGTTCCAGTGGACCAAGAGGTTAGGAAAAGACGCTGACGTTGGATCGGACATACTTTGAGAAAATCTAAGGACAGTATAACGAGAATGTTTCTGCAACGGAACCCAAGTGGGCACAGAAATAAAGGCAGACCGAAAAACCAACGGAGAAGGTAACTAGAGAATAAAGTTAAAAAGAATGTGGGAGGACATGGAGTGAGCTAAATACGATAGCGAACGACTTGGCCTGAGTTGGTTGGGGGTCTATGCTACATTGGTGAATAAAGGGAAGAAGAAGAAGAAGAAGAAGAAGAAGAAGAAGAAAGAAGAAGAAGAAGAAGAAGAAGAAGAATAGTGCCAGTACCGCCAAAAAAGACCAGGCCACGATTTTATGTTTCTCAGAGCACTGCTGGTGCTGGTGTTACGTAACACTACTTCTCATTTTCATAAGCATCCCCGACATCTCTACCTGCCAGATTCCTTGCTTATCGACAGACATAACCCGCTATAGAACCGGCACATTATTACCATCAGCGCCAGGCCCACGACATGATCCAGTTCCAGCTGCTACCCAGCCCACGCCGTGCCTGATCCTGGCACTGCTCGGCATTGATCAGACTAGCAGCGCCGGTACGTGCCCCAAACCCGCCTCTACTCCACTGCTATCAACTCGACATTTCCCATCCAGCTCCTCGCTGCCAGCTCGGCTTCATGAGCCTGGTATTCAGTCGGCTTGTGGCACAAAGCCGAGCTGTCTATCGAGTTTGGCTGACTGCCGAGCGACTCGCTGGCTGCTCTTTGTCGACACTAAACCCACTGTTGTACCGAGCACTTTTGGGGAACAAAGGCCTATTTTTACGTGTCAGGAGGAAAGTAAAAACCCCACCAGCAAGGATCAAGAGAAGTCTCTGTAATACGAAATGAGTAAACCACAGACCCTACGGAAACCTGATGAGGTAGATTTGGGTTTATGTTAGAAAACGTTGGTAGATACCAGCTTAAGTCCTTTTGTAGAAAAAAAATAAAAATCGAGTCAACGTTGAACTAACATTACACAAAATGATTCTTATGAACATTGACTTCATCACACCCATTTTGTGAACGGTGATTTATTTCAGAGTTCATATTTACACACGCTGTGAACAGATGTGAAACGTGGACCTAAACATTTGAGCTTGAAAGGAAAATACTAGTACTGAAAATGGGATCTTTTCAACAGATCCTGAATATATTATACAAAAAACAGGTCATAAAGGACGAATTGGTGTATCGTTACTCAACCCATCAGCAATTATAAACATTTGTAACAACGGCGCAAAGACATAAAAGGAGAGGGTATCAACTTGGGACCAGATCTGCATTGCTGACTTCAACAATGACACTACAAGACCATAGAGGGCAAGAGGGAAAAGACAGACCCAGAAAGAGCTGGATGTAGAATATGGTTTCAGGTTTCAGACAGAGGCGGAGCGAATCAATCAAACAGTCAACAGCTTGTGACTGGACAGCACACAGTGTTATTGGACTATGATGATGATGATAGGGTTTGAACTATACCTTTGTGGTTTAACAAGTGTCTACTCTAGATACTGAACGCACAGACAATGCCCCATTAAGTTACAAACTAAATATTTCAAGTCTAACACTGAATTTAAATGACAGTATATTTTGTCTATGTTTCAATAGCTGTCTTTAAAAATAAGATTCGTGTATATTTTTCTGTTTGCAAGTTTTTTTTTTACATCTGTAGAACTCTTTCCATACCACAGAACAGTTACATTAATTATAAATCAATGTATGATGCATCCCTTATACCAAAAGTTTTTACCTTCATTTTTGTTTGGGTGATGCTGTGCTTTATTGTGTGCTTATCCTTTTCTTTCACAGGTGTTGTCTCTGGCGTCAGCTCTTCTGACAGAACCTTTCACAGGTGTTGTCTCTGGCGTCAGCTCTTCTGACAGAACCTTTCACAGGTGTTGTCTCTGGTGTCAGCTCTTCTGACAGAACACTGGGGCAGTATGGCAAGACATCCCACAGCTAACAGCTGTTCTGATTATGTATCCATTAGCCTGTTAGCATCAGCTCATTTGATGAGGTTCTGAGGGCAGTGTTTCAAGAAACTGTATCCGTGGAAGTATGAATAACACATTTGTCTGGGGTGTGCCAGAAACAGCAAACACAGAACAAAACAGCAACACCTCTATTGGTGATTTCAATGATACTACACAGGTTGTTTCTGAACACCAGTTAACGAATGTGGGCTGCAGAGAGTCTAGGGTCCACAGCCCACCCAGCCTCATAGCTTTTGTTAATGAAACTGCTGATAATGAGAAAATAGATACGCATGGTTTGATAGAATTTCACGATCAGGTTTCATCTTCTGATGTCTCAATTCATGATTGGAGATCTGATGTTGGAAGTGACACAAGCAGAGATTTGCTGGTGAAAGATCCCATGAGTGCAACAAGTAAACACTTGCAGAAAGTCCCTAGTGCTGGATGCAGTAAGGCATTCAGTGAAACCAGCTCTGTCACTTGTTCAGTGGTTCCAGAATCACCACAAGTAGGACTGCAGACACTCAGGGACAATGCTATAGATGCCACTATTGAGAAACAAATTTGTGAGCCTGTAAGTTCCGTAGAACCTAGTGCTGATAGTGCCATTAAGGAATCTAGGCAGAACACAGAATCTATTGCTCATGGTGTCACTAAAGAACCGAGGCAGAACACAGAATCTAGTGCTCATGGTGTCACTAAAGAACCGAGGCAGAACACAGAATCTATTGCTCATGGTGTCACTAAAGAACCGAGGCAGAATGTAGAATCTAGTGCTCAAGGTGTCATTAATGAAATGAGCGAGAAAACGGACAGTGAGGTGTCAGATAAACCTGTCAAGTACAAATGTTTGAAATGTTCTCGAGTGATGAAGGACAAAAGACTGATTGAGAATCATTCCTGTGATAATGAGACAGAGGAAGACAAAATCAAAATAAGCATCACCTTGGATGTAGACTGTAAGTCCTTTCTGTGTAAAGAATGTAATTATTCCAACTCCGGACATAACTTTGAAGAGCACTTGATGTGCCATCTGATGGTTCGTCCCTACCAATGTCTCTACTGTAAGGAGTGTTTTATTAATCGCAAGGAAATCAGTCGGCATGTGCTCAAGTCACACAATGGAGCAAAGATGAGCTGTGCTCTCAGAGCACTGAGGAAAGCCAAAGCTCTCATTAAGGAGGTGACAGCTTCTGGGACAATCAGCTTTATGGCTAAAGTTGCTGGCAAAGTGCCTCTGGAGAAGGACCCAGACAAGAAGAAGAAATTGGAGAATGGTCAAACTTCAGCGTCTTTAATTCACAGTGATCAGAATCCAACTGAGTCAGCACAGTGTGGTCAGAATATTACTCCAGCAGGTCACAGTCACAAAGACATGACTGGAACAGGTCACATTCACCAAGACATGACTGAAACAAGTCATTGTCACCAAGATATGACTGGAACAGGTCACAGTCACAAGGACAATGCCCTGTCAGATCAAAGTGAGCACGCTGTGACCTCATCAACAGTTAAATCGCATGAAAAGGGTCAGGATACAATTCTATCAAAATTGTATGATGATGATTATGATGACAGAACACCTGAATCAAGTTCAAATTTAGCTGTCCAGAATTGCCCTGATTTGAGTGCCTCAGATCAGAATGGTCAGAACATGATTGGGTCATGCTCCAGTAATTACACAGAGTTCACTGACAATATTGATTTACAAGATGGAAATGATAAAGCACTCAGACCACATCAAATGCTCAGTCATCATGATGCTCCAGAGAATGTGGTAAATTCAGAGATCCATCCCAACCCAGAACATCAACAAAGTTGTCAGGGGTTTTCAAAACTCAGGGAAGTACTGACTTTAGGATCTTCAGAACTGAAGGCAAACAGCTGTAGTGAGACTGGAGACAACTCAGATAGTGAGAGGTCCTGCAGTGATTCAGGTCTCAAAATTGTAGCATCTTTTTCACTGAAGAATATGACAGATGATGGATCTGACTTTGAGAAAACCGGTGGTGAGTGTGTTATAGAGTCTGGTTTCATTGTAACATCTGAACAAGAAAAAGAACCAGAGGTTCTGTCATTTTTGGGCAGGTTTACATCGGTGGAGGGTTTTGATGCATCTTTACCATCTCCTCCTCCTCCTTCTCTACAACCAACAGTAGTCAGTTGCCCTAACAGAATGTCCGTAGCTAAAGCAGGTGGCAGTTCAAGGCAACATGAGTCAAACCACCATTTCTTTGTGTGTGGGTTCAACTGTCTGTTCAGCAGTATCAGTGCCACAGAGTTCAAAGAACATACCATGAACTTCCACTCCTCAGAGGCTTTTTTCCCCTGCTACTACTGTGGCCATCGCAGCCCCAATGAGACTGATCTGGTGAGGCATATCTCCAACCACACCCAGGCACACAACAAATCTGTCCACCTTTATGTCTGTGGAAATGATGGGTGCCGGTTTGGGTCCAACTTAGTGGCGGATTATATCGGCCACTTCAAAACAGCACACCCAGACATCCATGAACCCATGTGCTACTCCTGCGGAGACACCTTCTCAAATCCCAGCATGCTTCAGACTCATGTTGAGAGCAATGTTATTCATATTGTCAACTGCCCTCACTGTTCTTCCAAAGCAACGGACAGAAAAGTTATTTTAAACCACATTTCCTCCACCCATCCAGGAAAGCCTAAAATGGTGTCAGTGGCTAAACAGCTAATTTGTCATGACAGGAAAATGAACAGTTATGAGCCAAGGGGTCATCATCGAGAGATGCCTCCTCCAACCTTGACCCCAGCTCCAGCAATGGCGGCTTGTAGCTCTGTTGTTGACCAGGTCATAAACAGACATCATCTTGCTGGAGACGAATCTAACAGCTTATCAAAATCCAGAGACACACCCTCTCCCATGTCCAGCATAAGCTCACCAAGCAGCAGACGTAAGGAATCAACTCCTGAAAGAGGGAAAAGCCCGCATTCTGACTCCTCAGACTTTGGTTCTGCAAAAGTGAAAGAGGAAGTGGATGATGGACATGGATGGCTGCAGGGATTCTGAGTATGAATCTACAACCGCTTATGTTGTGGATGTGAATGGCATTCGGAGAAGAGTGTACGTCCCCATGAGCGAGAGACAAGCAGAAAATTACAGATGCAGACACTGCACTTTCATTGCTAGAGATTTTAAAAGAATGCATTGTCATGAGAAATCCCATGGAATGCCTCCAACAAAAAAGGAGCGTTTCAAATGTATGTTTTGTCCACAAGGGTTTGATAGTGAGCTGAAGTTTAGACTGCACATAACATGCCACCCAGGCCTCATAAAATTTTTGTTGTACAGATGTAAGAAGTGTGAATTTGACACCAACCAGAAACATACCATGATGAGGCATATCACCTGTAACAAAGACAGAAAACACAGAGGGTTTGGTCCTGTCGAAGACCAGTACACTGTGGTGTCCAGATCACTTGAGTCCCGAGTCATGGAGTGTGACAGGTGTGACTATATGACCAGGCATAAAATCCACATGACCTTACACTACCAGAAGAAACACAACATCCTCAAGGACAGATCTGAATTTACAGTTGAGGGCATTACACCGACAGACACCCCTCTCTCCACTTATGACCTTTCTCCTCAGATACCACAATCGCTGTCCCCTTACACTGGTTTCAGATCTCCAGATATTTCTCAGGATAACGCATTTGATTTCCCCAAACCATCAGGGAGTGTCAAGAAATCTAAAGACAGTGTCCGTTCAGACAGCCCCGTTATAACTTTAGCACGGATCAACGAGAGAAATGACGTGTTTAACAGAATGGTATCCCATCAGGCAGCACTGCAGCCAGGACACGTAGCAGAAAACCAGATGAGGAAGTTCAAGTGTCCCATCTGTAGGTACTTACTTCCCAAGGCAGCAGACCTGAAGAATCATGTGAAAAGGCACTCTGAAATTGGACAAATAACACTGATCATTTTTAGATGTCGATATTGCAGCTGTATGTCCACGGCTAGGGAGTTGCTGTATGAACACCTGGTGGAAAAGCACCCAGGGAAGCCGATAGCTCTGGTGAAAAAGATTGTGGCTATTGATACCATGGATGTGGACAAATCCTTCGCTGAAACCACCATGGAAGAGACCTTAGACCAATTGGAGGAGCAGTTACATAAGGAGATCTTGTCCAACCTGACTTCAAAGTCATCTATGGGTGTAAATGAAATCTTATCACCAAAGAACTATGAACAGGTGTTTGTAATACCTGAAGGTGAGGAAATATTTGGGGCACCACTACAGTGCCCTAAATGTCCTTTCAGCTCCTTCATCAGAAGTGAGATAGTATTTCATGTGAATTCCTTACATTCAGAAATCAGAGTAATCGGAAGTGAAGAAGCTCTAGACTCTTTGGTTAGAGCAACAGCAGACAGTATTCACATCGACAATGCATTGTCAGACTCCTCACCTGTGTTGGCCAGCCAGGAGGAGGTGCTCATTGTTCCTGATGATCAGATCTTCAAGGAGCCAGCACTGTGCTCCAGGTGTGACTTTTCCACATTGCTGCGTAGGGATATGGTCATCCATCTACAACAGAACCACCCTGAGATTGCTGTCATGGGCCGCAACTCTTTCCCTGTACAGGTCACTGCAATGGGGTATTTTACGGGGCCGATGGATGAAAGTTGCATTGTAGGCAGCGGCAGTCTGGATGCCAAACTTCGATGTCTGTATGAGAATTATGGAACTCAGATGAAGTGCTTGATTTGTGGCACTGAACGTCCTAAAAAGTTCTTCATTCATGTGCACATCCTTCGGCATCTCAACATTTACCTCTGGAAGTGTGCTTTCTGTGCCCACAGGGGCCTACAGAAGTACAAGATGGTTGATCACATCAAGAAGGTGCATCCAGGAAAACCACTGAGTGTTCGCTACCTGCGGGTCAACGTTGATGCAAAGGTCGCCCAGTTCCTAGAACAGTTTAATACCCTTAAGAGATGTAAAGATGACAGTGAGGAATGCATGGATCTCTCTTACAAACCACCGAAAGATGAATTCATTGACCAGGCTAGCAGCGATAGCAACAGGAGTCGGCACAAAATCTCCAGGACCATCAGGCTCTACCTCCCCACACTCTCTGGGCAGTGATGAACTGGATGAAAAGATCAGCTGTTTGTACGACAACTGTGGTGGGGTCACTTTCAAGTGCATCGCCTGTCACAATCAGTTCCAGCGCAAGTTTGCCATACATCGCCATATCATCATGTCTCACCTAAAGGTAAATATCTTCTAGCATCTGCCTAACTCTTGGTGTAGCAACTCATCATTTTGTCTCCTTCCTTTAAAATTACTCTTCTATGTTTCTTCTTCAATCTTGCTCTTCTTCTGTTTAATTTTGCCTTGTCTTTGGCACCCCTCTTAACTCATTCGCTACCAAGGAACTTACCAAACATTCATTGGATGTCCAGTACTTTTATCCATTCCCTAACTTCTGTTCCAGTTTTGTTTTGTTAACCTACGTCTTCCTTCCTTCTGTTCCAGTTTTGTTTTGTTAACCTACGTCTTCCTTCCTTCTGTTCTAAAACTGTATTTGTTTAATTCCTGAAGATGACTGTAAAGTATATGAACTTTGTGTAGGAACATGATAAAATATTTAGTGCCTCAGATGGCTCAGACTGCAGGCATTAACTCTTTTGCTAGCAAACAGTGGACTATACATTTCTTCATCATTCCAAAAGATAATATGATGTCCTTGCCGTCATCTTTCACAGACACATTGTAGATCAGCTCTTTGTTTCTGACTTATTAGTTTGACAACTCCCCGTGTGGGTTCCGGGGCCCCATTGTGGGGAAAACAAGAATAGACCCTCTGCCTACCCAAAAGCATGTCGTAAAAGTCGACTAATTGGAAGCTTCCTTTGAAGTCGGAGTGCATCTGCCTGAGAGGCAAGGAACAAACCGTCTGCATTCAAGTGAATCAGATCTGTAAAACTGATGCACACGCAACACTCAGGTTCTGGAGCAGGACTGCAGTCCAGAAGTAGACGAACAACCAGAACTTTCCGCCAGAGTGTACAGCTGGTGAACGCGAAGAAGAAGAAGAAGAAGTTTGACAACTTCTGTCCCATTGTGTCCCCTGTTCAACGACTTGCAACAAAAGTATTTACTGCTTTTAACCTGAACTCCTTGGGGTAGAAGGAGTTAATTGAGCAAATGTTTGGCACTGCAAGGGTTAAGACAGCATGAAGTTCAGACTTTGCTCTATTAAGTGTAAGGGACTGACTGGTCATGACATGATGTTTTCTCAGAAGCCTTTCTGTTCATCCCTTAGTTGTTTGTCAGTAGCATCTTTCCATCTGTCCAGAATAATTATGTTGAATATATTTGCTAACTGCATCTGCTTAAAGCTGAATAAGCCATTATTGATGAAAGAGTGAAACACTGCTATCAAATAGATGCTCAGTAAACTTCTATGTGTGAAACACTGCTATCAAATAGATGCTCAGTAAACTTCTATGTGTGAAACACTGAAGGCTGGTTGTTGCAACAGTTAAAAGCTAAATGAACTATAATTTATGAACCATTGCAGGTGGCACTGCTTGCCTGTGCCTACTGTGGCATGGAAGGCGTGGAGAGGCATCAGATTGTTGACCACATCTTAGCCTGTCACAGGCCAGCACCGGTCAACATCCTGCCCTTGGACATTGACCTGCATAAAAGTGTGTCTGAGTTCCTCACCAAACTGGCTGCAGGAGAACTTAGAGGAGTTGAGTACAGATAGCTGGTACCCAGTGTTCTCTTGTCTGTAGCCTGGATGTGTCCCAGGAACCTCTTGAAGATGCCCATAAAATACTGTCTACCTGTTGTACCCTCTTCTTGTCACTGTTGACACATAAGGCATTCACAAGTGATCTCCAGTGTTGATGTTCTCTTGTCTGCAGCCTGGATGTGTCCCAGGAACCTCTTGAAGAGGCCCACACAATACTATCTACCTGTTGTACCCTCTTCTTGTCACTGTTGACACATAAGGCATTCACAAGTGATCTCTATTGCTGCCGGTCTGCTGCTGTTCTGCCTATGGTTTCCCATGTCATGTTATATTCCTTCATGTCCATTTCTACTCTCTCCTATCTAACATGTTATAAAGCATACTGCAAACATGTCCATTTCTACTCTCTCCTACCTAACATGTTATAAAGCATACTGCAAACATGTCCATTTCTACTATCTCCTATCTAACATGTTATAAAGCATACTGCAAACATGTCCATTTCTACTATCTCCTATCTAACATGTTATAAAGCATACTGCAAACATGTCCATTTCTACTATCTCCTATCTAACATGTTATAAAGCATACTGCAAACATGTCCATTTCTACTATCTCCTATCTAACATGTTATAAAGCATACTGCAAACATGTCCATTTCTACTGTGTCTCCTATCTAACATGTTATAAAGCATACTGCAAACATGTCCATTTCTACTATCTCCTATCTAACATGTTATAAAGCATACTGCAAACATGTCCATTTATACTATCTCCTATCTAACATGTTATAAAGCATACTGCAAACATGTCCATTTCTACTATCTCCTATCTAACATGTTATAAAGCATACTGCAAACATGTCCATTTCTACTATCTCCTATCTAACATGTTATAAAGCATACTGCAAACATGTCCATTTCTACTATCTCCTATCTAACATGTTATAAAGCATACTGCAAACATGTCCAAGCTCGCTCCATGTTCTACTTTGATAACATTTGCCAGTGATGAACATTTTGTTTTCCTCAACAATTCTTCATCTGTGATCTTGTTTGTTTGGCTAAAATATTTCCAGGATCCTCTTTACACATTTATTTCAAAAAGTCTCTTGTTTACAAAATACTACAGACATGTAATATTTAATTTGTACACTAGCAAGGATTCATTACTTTAACTCATGCTGTCCTAGACATAAGTTATGTAAGTAGTAAAGAATTAAATAGCACTTTATGACAAAATTCAAGTTGCCATGGTGAGTGGATAGATGCTCACCTGCAGATCGGAAGGTCGTGGGTTCAACGGTCCTCTCTCATCATGTTGGATGTGACGGCTGAGTTCAGTCAGTACTGTGCAGCATGTCAACAGTCCTCTCTCATCATGTTGGATGTGACAACTGAGTTCAGTCAGTACTGTGCAGCATGTCAACAGTCCTCTCTCATCATGTTGGATGTGACAACTGAGTTCAGTCAGTACTGTGCAGCATGTCAACAGTCCTCTCTCATCATGTTGGATGTGACAACTGAGTTCAGTCAGTACTGTGCAGCATGTCAACAGTAGTCTCTCATCATGTTGGATGTGACAACTGAGTTCAGTCAGTACTGTGCAGCATGTAAACAGTCCTCTCTCATCATGTTGGATGTGACAGCTGAGTTCAGTCAGTACTGTGCAGCATGTCAACAGTCCTCTCTCATCGTGTTGGATGTGACAACTGAGTTCAGTCAGTACTGTGCAGCATGTCAACAGTCCTCTCTCATCATGTTGGATGTGACAGCTGAGTTCAGTCAGTACTGTGCAGCATGTCAACAGTCCTCTCTCATCATGTTGGATGTGACAGCTGAGTTCAGTCAGTACTGTGCAGCATGTCAACAGTCCTCTCTCATCATGTTGGATGTGACAACTGAGTTCAGTCAGTACTGTGCAGCATGTCAACGGTCCTCTACATGTGGATGTGACAACTGAGTTCAGTCAGTACTGTGCAGCATGTCAACAGTCCTCTCTCATCATGTTGGATGTGACAACTGAGTTCAGTCAGTACTGTGCAGCATGTCAACAGTCCTCTCTCATCATGTTGGATGTGACAACTGAGTTCAGTCAGTACTGTGCAGCATGTCAACAGTCCTCTCTCATCATGTTGGATGTGACAACTGAGTTCAGTCAGTACTGTGCAGCATGTCAACGGTCCTCTCTCATCATGTTGGATGTGACAACTGAGTTCAGTCAGTACTGTGCAGCATGTCAACAGTCCTCTCTCATCATGTTGGATGTGACAGCTGAGTTCAGTCAGTACTGTGCAGCATGTCAACAGTCCTCTCTCATCATGTTGGATGTGACAACTGAGTTCAGTCAGTACTGTGCAGCATGTCAACAGTCCTCTCTCATCATGTTGGATGTGACAGCTGAGTTCAGTCAGTACTGTGCAGCATGTCAACGGTCCTCTCTCATCATGTTGGATGTGACAACTGAGTTCAGTCAGTACTGTGCAGCATGTCAACAGTCCTCTCTCATCATGTTGGATGTGACAGCTGAGTTCAGTCAGTACTGTGCAGCATGTCAACGGTCCTCTCTCATCATGTTGGATGTGACAACTGAGTTCAGTCAGTATTGTGCAGCATGTCAACGGTCCTCTCTCATCATGTTGGATGTGACAGTTTCCCTGTAGGGGTTCCAGGGCCACATTGTGGAGAGAAAAATAGAATAGACCCACTGCCCTTTCAAACAAGCATGTCATAAGATGCAACTAATTAGGGATATCTCCTTCAGAGTCTGGGAGGCAAGGAACCGGCAGTCTGTATTTAAAAAAGCCATATCTGTAAAACGGATGTGCACGCAAAACAACACCAAAGTTTAGAAATGGATGTGCAATGAGAACTTTCCGCTGCAGTTTACAGCTGGTCAGTGCAAAACAGAAGAAGAGAAGAAGAAGAATGTGACAGTTAATTAATGTCAGCTCTTACAAATGTAGGATGTAACAGCTGGAGAAAATCTAATCTCACCATGTTGGGAAACAAATCATCTGCTGCCCTCACAAGCACGTTGTATAATAGGTGACTAATTAGAAAATTTCTGACATCCCTTGTATCGGATTACTGTTAGCTTTTTAAATTTGATTTGCTACCGTTGTGACACTGTCTGTTGTTTGTCCAGGTACATCAAGTGCTGTCTTTGCTAGTATGTTTGATCAGAAGAAAGCCAGCAAGAAGACAAAGATGGGATCCCTAAAGCTGGGCAAGTCTCCGGGCTCCAATAGCTTGAAGAAACACAGCACGGTAGACCCAGATGTCCTCTTACTGGGTCGGTATGCACTAGATCAAGAGCTGGGGTGTCTGTATCAGGAGCGCCCTTCTGGTCAACTGCGCTGTTTGGTGTGCAGGTGGGAATTCCCAAAGAAGTATCCACTTCACAGACACATCATGCTGAAGCATCTGAAGATGAACTTACTGGGCTGTCCGTACTGTCCCTTTGAGGGGATTGAGAAGTACAACATATCAGTTCACATCAAGGAATTACATGGAGGCAAGGCACTGGGCGTCAAGCTGCTGGACTCTGACGTCAGGGGAAGGGTGAAGAAGTTTGTGGAGGACATGACTAGCACTGGTGCTGAAGATCTAGAACGCAACAAGAAGGAGTCTGTGGATAGTTCTTTGTTGATTGTACCAAAAGTTGAGATCAATGATGAGGAGAGAAATGGCCCTGTAAATGAGGAGGAGGGAAATGGCCATGTCAGTGAGGAGGAGGGTGAAAGAAAGAAAACTGCTGATACTGTTAACAGTGGGCTAGTGGTAGCCATGTTTGGCAAGAAGAAACAACAGTTTTCATTTGGGAATGTGCATGTGAAGACAGAGATCCACGATAAAGATTTCAAAGACAGCAGTAACATACCTGCACATGATAATGATGGTAAGAAAGAACAGTACTCTCCTGATGAAGATGATGAAGGTGATGTATATACAGCAAAAGTAAAATATAAATCCCCCAAAGGAACCAAACACCTCTCCAGTGCTCAGATGAAACATCTTCGTGTCCAGTCATTAGTATCAGAATCGTACCGCTCCCCTGCGGGTGGCAAGCCAAAGGCTTTGGATGTGATCACCAAAATTAAAGTCTTGAAAGCTAAAGAAGGTCAAATTGTGAAGTTTTACTGTGAGATGTGTAAGTTTACCTCCCTGCATCGGTCAAATGTTGTTCGTCATATCTACAAAATACACGAGAAGTACCAGACACAGGTCTGCCCCTTGTGCACTTACCAGACTCTCAGTCCTATGTTAATGTACAGACATGCAGAGAAGGAGCACCCTGGCCTCGACTACAAGCCAGGCTCGTCAAAACAAGCCCATCCCAAGCTCACCAGAAAACCAAAGATGGGGCCTCTGAGTTTCCAGAAACGAAGGCAGAGCCTGGTCAGTGAGCCCCACTCTCAGAAAACTTCCTCCAGCGCAGTCACCATCAGCTGCAGCACTCTGACTCTGGGTCCCAAACAATATGCTTGTGCTTACTGTCACTACGAGACCAGCACACAAGAAGACATCCTCCGACATACAAGAATCAACCATTCTCAGGGAGAGGAACAGTCAGCAGTCGTCAAATCTCCAAACAGCAAGCCTAAAAACACTACCAAGTCCGAGGATCAGCTGATGGCTTGTTGGGACGGCAGCAAGAAAGGCTGTCAAGAGAAGAGTTCCAGATGAAGATGAGGCTGGGTTTAAAAGAAAGCGCAAGTTTATCTTTGAGAAAAGTAACGAGCTCATCCAGTGCGGTCACTGTGATACTAAAGAAACTACAATGAGTCGCATGCAGGACCATCTGACCTGGGATCACCCAGGACTCCCGTTTCAAGCCAAAAGAATTCCTGCCTGGCGATTTATCTGCAAATCATGTTCTGTTAAAACTATGGCCACATCAAAAATGAAATATCATCTCAACCGACATGTTAATTACCGGCCATACACCTGCGTCGACTGTGCAGCTTTCTTCCCATCACCAGACCAGTGCAGGAGACATTCCAGATCTCAAGGTAGGAGGCCCCATTAAGGCAGAAAAAATTACAAGCCCCATGCCCCCCCCCACAGACACACACACACACACACGCATTCATGCACGTGTGCACACACACACACACACACAGAGTGTTTGTGTGTGTGTGTTAAATAAAAGGCAACTCATTAGGGGCTATGATGGAGTAAGCTGCATGTTCCTCAGCATGTTTCATGCACTATCAATTGTTTCTTCTACAGATATTCTTCCATCCCAGATCTTCTTTCTTCATCTCCTTGTGGCTTTCTTTCCCTTTAAATGTCCCATTGTCACGATGTACTCCTGTTGTTCCTTTCTCATGCACGTGCCTCAAGAATAGGGATTGACTTCTTCTGACACATGTAGTCAGTTCTGTCTGTAAGCTAAATGCTTCAAGAGATCTTCATTATGCTTTTTTGTGTGTGTGTGTCCATCTGTTGTCATCCTTCTAAAATTAACACTCACACAGCTTCCACCATACTTACCAATCAAACAACATCAGAGCATTGAGAAGAAAGTGTGTTAAGTACTAAATAAAATCTATACTGTGGCTTGTATGTCAAACATGGATGAGGGTCTCTGTAGTCGAGTGGTCAAGGCAGTGAAGGCTTGGTGGGGGTGGGGGGTATTTGTTTCATGGACACAGCTTTCAGTTCACCAGTGCAGGTTTATTTACGAAGATCCCTGGGGATTGTCACTGGAGCTGTCTGCAGCTAGTTGTTCTTGTGGAGAGAGACTGAGTTATGAGGAATAATATCTGATGCAGTGAAGTTGATCCTCTTAATTGTAACTTTTCCCCGTGTGGGTTCCGGGGCCCCATTGTTGGGGAAAACAAGAATAGACCCACTGACTCCCCAAAAGCATGTCGTAAGAGTCGACTAATTGGGGAGCTTCCTTTGAAGTCGGAGTGCATCTGCCGGAGAGGCAAGGAACCGACAGTCTGTATTCAAGAGAATGAGATCTGTAAAACTGATGCACACGCAACACTCAGGTTCTGGAGCAGGACTGCAGTTCAGTAGTGGACGAGCAACCAGAACCTTCTGCCAGAGTGTACAGCTAGTGAACGCGAAGAAGAAGAAGAATTGTAACTTTAACCTTACTTCAGAATATAAGCAATAGGCAGGCAGACCAAGTATCATCACCAGGGGTGAGAGTAAATGTAAAATGGATGTGCACACAAACTTTAAGTTCTGAAACAGGGTTAAAGTCCAGAAGTGGATGGATAACCACAACTATCTATCGGAGCTTGCAGCTGGTAAACACTAAGAAAAAGAAGATGAAGAATAAAAAGACTTTAACCACAGCTGGCAAGCTTCAGTTTTCAAACTTCTGCAGATCTGCTTACTTGGCAGATCCACCAGAGATCTTTCTCCCCAGTCTAACAGTATTTGGTAGTGGTATATAGCCAGGGCATATTATTGCTTAGTCTTTCAGATGTATTTTCAAATACTACTATTCCCAAAATAAATGTATTATGTTGTTTCCAGCACACACGGAGCAGTATACATATGTCCGTGCTCTCAAGAAAGAGGCCAGAGTGGCGGAGCTACTTGAAGGGACTCGTCAACTTGCCCTACAGGTGCAGGATGAAGCGTCCAAAGACCCAGATTTTGACATCTCTAAATCAGATACTTTTATTGCCAAGTTCCAGGAATTCAAGGGTAACTTAAAGAGAAGCATCCCGGGAGTGACGCGCAAGCTGGTGAAGAAAGCCAAAGGACGTTTACACGATACAGCAAATAATGGAGGAGGAGCTGGTGCAGGGCACCCAAGAAAACAGGTAATTATTGAAAATATTTTCCCTCTATTTTATCTACTCAGTCTCCAAAGAAATCATAACCGTGGCAGCCATATTGGCTACAAGGGTCAGGTGTTGCCCGAGGTTCTGTGTAGGTAAGGATGTGGATGTTTAAATTATCATCAAACACAATCAGCCTATGTGGGGTTTAGGGTTATTAGTGTATTCATAATTTGAACATAACAGGTTCACTACCACCATGGGCAGTGTCTTTTCAGTGGTGACTAGATTTAGCATGTTGCTGCTACCTTTCTTCAGGTGTCATATCTTTGTAGTTGTGGTCATAGTTTTCTTAAACTCTAGAGTCTAGCTAGCTGAACTGAATCCCAGACTTGGTTCTGAAACCCCATTTTGGAGAAAGGGGAGGGGGAGACAATAAAGAAGAAGAAGAAAAAGAAGAAGATGATGATGAAGAAGAAGAAGAAAAAGGAAGAAGAAGGAAGGAAGGAAGAAGAAGAAAGGAGGAAGGAAGAAGAAAAAAGAAGAAAGAAGATGGAGGAAGGAAGGAAGGAAGGAAAGGGAGGGGGAGGGAGGGAGGAAGGAAGAAAGAAAGAAAGAAAGAAAGAAAGAAAGAAAGAAAGAAAGAAAGAAAGAAAGAAAGAAAGAAAGAAAGAAAGAAAGAAAGAAAGAAAGAAAGAAAGAAAGAAAGAAAGAAAGAAAGAAAGAAAGAAAGAAAGAAAGAAAGAAAGAAAGAAAGAAAGAAAGAAAGAAAGAAAGAAAGAAAGAAAGAAAGAAAGAAACAGCAGGAGAGGAGGAAAGAAAGAAAGAAAGAAACAGCAGGAGAGGAAGAAGAAAGAGGAGGAAGGAAAGAAGGAGGAGGAAGAAGGAGAGGAGGATAAGGAAAAGTAGTAGTAGTTTGAGACAACCTACCATATATCACCTGGATAAATTGTCCCACAGCCATTCCTATGTGTGCAGCTGTGTCATTTAGTAAGATATGCAGTTTTAATTATTGAATGTAACTGCGGGAACTCTGGGGTTTTAGATCAAATAAGTAGTTCTAATTATTGAATGTTACTGTGGGCACAGTATAGTATGAGGTCAGATAAGCAAGTTTAATTATTAAATATTACGGTGGTTGAAGAATTATCCAGTTTATCAATGCATTTTCTACAGACTGGCAAATCAGCACAAACCGTTGGGGTGGAACAGGATGTCACCATTAAATGCTACAACTGTGAGTTCACCTCCAGCAACGTCAGCAGTGTCAAAGTTCACCACAACCAGGAACATCCGGGCACCAAGTTTCTGTGGACTGAGCTGGAGCGAGGCTTCACTTGTGACAGCTCTGGGGAGGCACTGCCAGAGTGTGATTCTGTGCCCTGTACATCCACGGATGTTGGATATACCACACGGATGACTCTTGGGGCAGGCAGCAATACCATGAGGTGAGATATTGTACTCTAATGTATAAGGGAATACAAAGTCTGTGAAGTATCTCTATACTCTAATGTATAAGGGAATACAAAGTCTGTAAAGTATCTCTATACTCTAATGTATAAGGGAATACAAAGTCTGTAAAGTATCTCTACACTCTAATGTATAAGGGAATACAAAGTCTGTAAAGTATCTCTATACTCTAATGTATAAGGGAATACAAAGTCTGCGAAGTATCTCTATACTCTAATGTATAAGGGAATATAAAGTCTGTAAAGTATCTCTATACTCTAATGTATAAGGGAATACATAGTCTGTGTGAAGTATCTCTATACTTTAATGTATAAGGGAATACAAAATCTGTGAAGTATCTGTATACTCTAATGTATAAGGGAATACAAAGTCTGTGAAGTAAATCTATACTCTAATGTATAAGGGAATACAAAGTCTGTAAAGTATCTCTATACTCTAATGTATAAGGGAATACAAAGTCTGTAAAGTATCTCTATACTCTAATGTATAAGGGAATACAAAGTCTGTAAAGTATCTCTATACTCTAATGTATAAGGGAATACAAAGTCTGTGAAGTATCTCTATACTTAATGTATAAGGGAATACAAAGTCTGTGAAGTATCTGTATACTCTAATGTATAAGGGAATACAAAGTCTGTGAAGTAAATCTATACTCTAATGTATAAGGGAATACAAAGTCTGTAAAGTATCTCTATACTCTAATGTATAAGGGAATACAAAGTCTGTAAAGTATCTCTATACTCTAATGTATAAGGGAATACAAAGTCTGTAAAGTATCTCTATACTCTAATGTATAAGGAATGCAAAGTCTGAAGTCTTCTTCTTCTTCGCGTTCACCGGCTGTAAACTCCAGCGGAAAGTTCTGGTTGTTCGTCCACTTCTGGACTGCAGTCCTTTTCCAGAATCTGAGTGTTGCGTGTGCATCCGTTTGATAGATCTGACTAATTTGAATGCAGACTGTTGGTTCCTTGCCTCTCAAGAAGATGCACTCCAACTTAGAAGGAAGCTTACAATTAGTCGCCTTTTACGACATGCTTTTGGGTAGGCAGTGGGTCTATTCTTGTTTTCCCTTATAGGGCCCCGGAACCCACACGGGGAGTCTAAGTATCTCTAACTCTAACATTTGAGGGAATACCAAGTCTTGGAAATATCTCTATACTCTAATGTATAAGGGAATACCAAGTCTGGGAAATATCTCTATACTTTAATGTATAAGGGAATACCAAGTCTGGGAAATATCTCTATACTTTAATGTATAAGGGAATACCATGTCAGTGAAGTGTCTCTATACTCTAATGTATAAGGGAATACCATGTCTGTGAAGTGTCTCTATACTCTAATGTATAAAGGAATACAAAGTCTGAAGTGTCTCTATATTCTAATGTGTAAGGGAATACCATGTCTGTGAAGTGTCTCTATACTCTAATGTATAAGGGAATACCATGTCTGTGAAGTGTCTCTATACTCTAATGTATAAGGGAATACCATGTCTGTGAAGTGTCTCTATACACTAATGTATAAGGGAATACCATGTCTGTGAAGTGTCTCTATACTCTAATGTATAAGGGAATACCATGTCTGTGAAGTGTCTCTATACTCTAATGTATAAGGGAATACAAAGTCTGAAGTGTCTCTATACTCTAATGTAAAAGAGAATATCATGTCTGTGAAGTGTCTCTATACTCTAATGTATAAGGGAATACCATGTCTGTGAAGTGTCTCTATACTCTAATGTATAAGGGAATACAAAGTCTGAAGTGTCTCTATACTCTAATGTAAAAGGGAATATCATGTCTGTGAAGTGTCTCTATACTCTAATGTATAAGGGAATACCATGTCTGTGAAGTGTCTCTATACTCTAATGTATAAAGGAATACAAAGTCTGAAGTGTCTCTATATTCTAATGAGTAAAGGAATACCATGTCTGTGAAGTGTCTCTATACTCTAATGTATAAAGGAATACAAAGTCTGAAGTGTCTCTATACTCTAATGTATAAAGGAATACCAAGTCTGTGAAGTGTCTCTATACTCTAATGTATAAAGGAATACAAAGTCTGAAGTGTCTCTATACTCTAATGTATAAAGGAATACCAAGTCTGTGAAGTGTCTCTATACTCTAATGTATAAGGGAATACAAAGTCTGAAGTGTCTCTATACTCTAATGTATAAAGGAATACAAAGTCTGAAGTGTCTCTATACTCTAATGTATAAGGGAATACAAAGTCTGAAGTGTCTCTATACTCTAATGTATAAAGGAATACAAAGTCTGAAGTGTCTCTATACTCTAATGTATAAAGGAATACAAAGTCTGAAGTGTCTCTATACTCTAATGTATAAAGGAATACAAAGTCTGAAGTGTCTCTATACTCTAATGTGTAAAGGAATACAAAGTCTGAAGTGTCTCTATACTCTAATGAGTAAAGGAATACCAAGTCTGTGAAGTGCGTCTATACTCCAGTGTGTAAGAGGGACTGCTAAGGCTGTGACACATCTGTTAGAGTGTGTTATTGTCTATTTAAAAACAAATTAAAGCTGTCATTCAGTGGTGTGTGTACTCTGTGTCCTCTTGCAGGTTTAAATGCAAAACTTGTGATTTTTCATCCTGTGTGATCCAAGCAATGAAGTCACATCTGAAATCACATCAGCCAAAGGGATTCATGTGTCCCTACTGCAGTCGGTCCTTCTCTGGGAAGTAAGTTTTGTTGTTTGAGCTTCCTGCAGTCTCTTGCAGCAGATATAGTTTTTGTCTTTGATATCAATGCCACAAATGTGAAGAAGTAAAGCAGATGTCTGGACAACCACTGGTATCAACAAAAGCAAGACAAAGAAGAAAGCGATATATTAGGCACATAATGGAAAACAAGAAGATAATCACTAAACAGGAATTTTAAATGGACTAAGGAAATGAGAACAACCAAAAAATAAACCCTAAAATGAAGGTTGGTGAGAGAGGACAAAGATACTGGACCGGATTCCGTCCATAATATTGAAATAATTGCACAAGATAGAACAGAGTGGAGGAAGAGACTCTGTTACCTACAGTGGTACAACAGAATGATAATGATGTTTATACCACTGTACACAACCTCAGTAAGAGCTGCTGCTCTCATAGACCCTATGAAAATATTCTCAGCACAGCGCACCAACTCCCATTGTGGTCAATATTTATGACTGAATCTTCATGTGGAAGTTGATGAGCAGCATCAGATTTTATATGCCATAGGTATTATTTTATCATTATGTTTACAATGTTTGTGTGTCTCATAAGTTCCCATAGTCTTGTGTGTTCTTTGGGAGCAACAGTAGGGAGGTGGCTGTACGCTGTCTTGCTTCCCTGAAGGTCTTAGCTTTGAGTCCACATACAGTTAAGTCAAGGACACTTTTCCACGCCTTTAGGCGTATAGGGCATATAGGGCTAGACCTTTATTTCACAGACCAATCGGCACAAGATGGCTGATGTGGTCAGCATCACGCTGGCTGCCTTTACTTTCAGGGACTGTACTTGGTACCCACTCAAGGTTGGGTCGACCTGGGAGCCAAGCCACATACAGTTGGATTTTTGTTATTTATTTATCTTGGTTCTGAGGTCAGCCCAGCCTAAAATAGGTGCCGGGTAAAGTTCTGGGAAGTAAAGGTGACTGGCATGATGTTAACCACATCACTCGCAGAATTGTGACCAATCTATCAAAATTAAGAGTAGAATTATACATCCGATGTGTTACTGGTGTGTAAATAGTCCTCTATTGGACAACATTTTTTGGGCTAAATTGTTCCCCTTATCTGCTGTGATTTCTTGTTAATATCTACTTATGTATTTATGTAATTTTTCTGTGTTTGCCAATACTTTTGCTGATGTCATTGACACAGAGAGAAACTCATGCGGCACCAGTACTGTTTGCATAAGGGCCTGTCACTCTGGGTGATCCATCTGCGCATGGCTGGAGTTGTAGGCTCTACAGCAGTGAAGAAAGGCAAAGGTGTCCCTGCAGACGACAGTGCAGCTGAAGTCCACACAGACAGTGTGGGCACAGAGTCAGGTAACTGCTGCAGACAGTCTTCATTGCTGTTTGGTTCTCACTAGTAACTCTTGCTAAACATATCATAGATATTATTGTCTTTTTGCCTTACAGTTCAACAAAGATGTGTTGATCATAAAGAAACAGACCATTATATTTAGATTGCATACTGGACAGACTCTGCAGCCGTACATACGTACAAGAAACTCAAGACTGGGGATTGAGAACTTTGCTTATGTGGATAGGCATCACAGAATATTGAACCTGTGCTACAGACTTCCGGTTAAAATGGACGCTAGACAGCGGCGCTGTTCGGAGTGGAGGCAAATTTTTTGCTTCTGCCGGACGGTGGCCGATGCATTTTTGCTCCATTTGTAGACTGGATATAGTTTCGTCGCCCAGCTTCTGAGTAAAATGCATGGCGTGACCCTGTGAGCTGCAGATTGCATTTGAAATGTTTTTTCGACTGTGCAACGTGGTGTGAATTGTAGATTCAAAAAATGGCGCGATGCCTGTCGTGCAATGCTGACGGGGCCCGTATTATAATTGATCGCGCGGGCAACTGCTGATCTGTTGGCGACAAGTTCTGCTATCATCAATGATGAACTGCATTTCTAATGTTGGACTGTTTGTGTTAGCACTTCGGATGGCTACCATATGCGTTAGTGCGAGTGTATGCTAGATATGCTGAGACAGCAGTCTGTCAATCTTTCCACAAGGGACTGTGATAAACATTCTGGGTATTTTTCGCTGGCACAGGAGCGGAGCAAAGATGGGGTGACCCGTTTGCTATGAAGCTGAAACTAAGACTACCGAACCAGACCTGTGCTACAGACGTGATCCCGACGTGCAGGAGACAGATCCCAGGTTTGGCTGGCTGGTATTCTAGTGGAAACCAGGCTGTGAGGAACAATGGAAGACATGCATTGCACTACAGCAGGGCTATTCAAATAGCGGCCCACGGGCCCTGGCCCGCTGAGGCCCAGAAAGTGGCCCGCAGATCATTGCAAGTTAAACTGTATTGATGATCTATCTGTGCTTGGACTCGGACCTCTGGCCTGTGACGATCCTCATGTTTCAAAATGTTGGCAACTAAGTAAACTTAGTTGAATAGCTCTGTACTACAGACTGTATAGAGGCCTGTGATCTTCTCATTTGACAATCACAGGCAGGGAGAGCAAAAAGAACAGAAGAAGATTTTTGTCAGTCTTGTTCTGCTTGATACTGGCTGGGCAACCAGTGTCACAGTTTTGTATTATTGCCTATTGTATTTGGGGGGGAGGAAGGGGGCCATGGCACAGTGATTGAATCCCCTTTGGGATGGGTTTTTCTTCAGAGAGCTAGACTCCTGAATCTACCAAGTCTAAAGTGAATATCTGGAAATATCCTGGAAATAAAGGCAGCAAATGTAACATTGATGACATGAGCCACTGTTTGTCAGTTGGTCTATAAATTTTTGGCCAGCTCTGCATAAACAACACAACACACTTCACGTTCTGGAAAGGGGTCCTTTAAGTTGACTTCTACTTGTATGTTGGCATCATATTATGTTTTTTTTTTAAGCTGTGTAACACAGTAACATGCACATTTAACATAATTTCAATATTGTTTACATTTATCATACTTTTATTTCCTGTGAGGGTTCCAGGGCACTATTGGGGGGATTGGGGTTTGATGTTGGGAGAACAGAAATAGCCCCACAGTCCCCCCAACAATCATGTTGTCAGAGTAGACTAATTATGTATTTCCTTTGAAGTTAGAGTGCATCTGCCTGAGAGGCCTGGAGCCAACGGTCTGTGGCATACAAATAAACTAGATCTGTAAAATGAATGTACATGCACAACTCAAGTACTAGAACAGGACTAAAGTCCAGAGGTGGATGAACAACCAGAACTGTCCGTTGAAGTTGACAGCTGATAAATGCAAAAAAAAATCTTTTTTTTTTATAGTAATTATAAACATATTTTGTATAATATATAAACACACAGACACACACACATGCAAAAAAACATTATTTCCTCAGCTTATGTTCATTATTTACATTATTATATGCTTTTTCCTATCCTTTAAACATTCTCAGTTATGTATATATACCTATCATACTTTCATATTATTCTAGCTTTGTGATGACATTTACTTTCCATGACAACAGCCCCAAAGACACCCAGCGGCGGCTCGACCGTGTTCTTGTGCAGCGAGTGCGCGTACACAACAGGGAGTCTCTACCACTTCCGCTTGCACCTGGCTCAGCAGCATCCACAATTCAGACACAAGACCTGCGCCACATCTCCTGACACACCTCTCAGGTGTGCCTCTTGTTCCTTCGTGGCAGAAACAGAAATAGACTTGAGTATTCATGCAGAAACTCACTCCAGTACTGGAAGTTTCCAGTGTGGGTACTGTGACTACAACTCAGCTGATAGATCAAGTGTACAGTGTCATCTGGCCGCCAGCCATGGCTCTCTAGATCCCAAGATTTTACATCAACGGGACAAAGGTGAAGACAAAATCAGTTTGCCGCTGTTAGTAAATTTAGAACCAAATATCCTGTTGGAACGAGTGTCAGATTCTGTACTAACTCAGTACAGCATTTCAAAGTCGGAGGATGATTGTGCTTTGGACAATGAGGAGGAGGATGATCATATGGATGAAGCAGAAGAAGAAAAGGTAAGTGTTCACACTGACACATTTACCGAAGCAACCAGCCCATTGAGGAAATCATCATTTAACAAGCAGTTTGATGATGATGATGATGATGATGAGAGGCTAATAGTAGTAGAAGATCCTTATCTGAGTACAAGAGAAGCAGGAACTAGGGATGGTGGTCGTAGTGGTGATGATAATGATGATGGTGATGATATTAATAAAGCAGAACTTGCTGCAGTTAACAGTTTGAATCTGCAAATCAATGAAGTGAGGGAATTCAAGAAACAGTCAAACAATCTACAGTTTGTAGGTCATGAACAATTCTGTTCTCCTGATTTATATTCAGATGTTACAAACACACAGTTTGACACTGAGGTAACTAATCAGTGTCACTTACCAGCCGATGAAGGCATCGATGATGGTGATGATGATGTTAGTAATGATGATGATGATAATAACAGTGATGTTGATGATGATGTTGAAGCTGATGTTAATGATGATGACAGTGAGTATGGTGTTAATGAAAGTGATAAAGAAGATATAGATGGGAAGGTATCCACATCACAGGATAACATTTCAACTGGCCAGAGTCGAGATTTGACCTTACTGGCAGCTCAGGACAAAGACAGTAAAGGTAGTGATGATGAGGGGGAAGTTGAGGATGAAGATATGGATTTTGATAATGATACAGCTCTGTCATCTCCCTTGCCGATGATCTCACTTGGGGACGGAGTGGCTATGTCTCCGGTGAATATGGAGATAGATGATGCCGGGATCAGGGTCGAGCAGGAACATTTTGTTACTGATTCTAACAGTGAAAGACTGCTTGATGTGTGAACATGTCGACTGATTGAGTCAGTGAGTGTTGATGTGTGAACATGCCGACTCAATGAGTCAGTGAGTGTTGATGTGTGAACATGCCGACTCAATGAGTCAGTGAGTGTTGATGTGTGAACATGCCGACTCAGTGAGTCAATGAGTGTTGATGTGTGAACATTTCGAGTCAGTGAGTGTTGATGTGTGAACCTGACGACTCAATGAGTCAGTGAGTGTTGATGTGTGAACATGCTGACTCAATAAGTCAGTGAGTGTTGATGTGTGAACATGTCGAGTCAGTGAGTGTTGATGTGTGAACCTGCCGACTCAATGAGTCAGTGAGTGTTGATGTGTGAACATATCGAGTCAATGAGTCAGTGAGTGTTGATGTGTGAACATGTCGAGTCAATGAGTCAGTGAGTGTTGATGTGTGAACATGTCGAGTCAATGAGTCAGTGAGTGTTGATGTGTGAACATGCCGGCTCAATGAGTCAGTGAGTGTTGATGTGTGAACATGCCGACTCAATGAGTCAGTGAGTGTTGATGTGTGAACATGCCGACTCAATGAGTCAGTGAGTGTTGATGTGTGAACATGTCGAGTCAGTGAGTGTTGATGTGTGAACCTGCCGACTCAGTGAGTCAGTGAGTGTTGATGTGTGAACATGTCGAGTCAGTGAGTGTTGATGTGTGAACGTGCCGACTCAGTGAGTGAGTGAGTGTTGATGTGTGAACATGCCGACTCAATGAGTCAGTGAGTGTTGATGTGTGAACATGTCGAGTCAGTGAGTGTTGATGTGTGAACCTGCCGACTCAATGAGTCAGTGAGTGTTGATGTGTGAACATGCCGACTCAATAAGTCAGTGAGTGTTGATGTGTGAACATGTCGAGTCAGTGAGTCAGTGAGTGTTGATGTGTGAACATGCCGACTCAATGAGTCAGTGAGTGTTGATGTGTGAACCTGCCGACTCAATAAGTCAGTGAGTGTTGATGTGTGAACATGTCGAGTCAGTGAGTGTTGATGTGTGAACCTGCCGACTCAATGAGTCAGTGAGTGTTGATGTGTGAACATGTCGACTCAATGAGTCAGTGAGTGTTGATGTGTGAACCTGCCGACTCAATAAGTCAGTGAGTGTTGATGTGTGAACATGTCGAGTCAGTGAGTGTTGATGTGTGAACCTGCCGACTCAATGAGTCAGTGAGTGTTGATGTGTGAACATGTCGAGTCAGTGAGTGTTGATGTGTGAACATGCTGACTCAAAGAGTCCGTGAAAGTTGATGTGATGATGACGTGGTGAACATTGACACAGGGATGTCTTAGTGATTTAGTATATGGTGTAAGCCCCTTATTTTTATACCATTTATTATTTAATTACTATTTTTTAATTATTTGTTTTTCTTCTTCGTGTTTACCGGCTGCAAACTCTGGCAGAAAGTTCTGGTTGTTCATTCACTTCTGGACTCCAGTCCTGTTCCAGAACCTGAGTGTTGCATGTACATCCGTTTCACAGGTCTGACTTATTTGTATGCAGACTGTTGGTTTCCTGCCCCTCAGGCAAATTTACTCCGACTTTGAAGGAAGCTCCCCATTAGTTGACTCTTACGACATGCTTTTGGGCAGGCAGTGGGTCTTTTCTTGTTTTCCCCCTACAATGGGGCCCCGGAACCCACACAGAGATTTTAATTAATATTTTTTTAGTTTTTTTTTAGATGAGTGTAGAGTACTATTTCAGGATATGTCATGAGGTCTTAGAGTAGGGGTTAGGTTACACAGTTACTGAATGCTAATCCACTATTTCAGGATATTTGATGAGTGTCAGGAGTGAAAGCTGAGTAAGGCTATAGGACACTCAAATAATTCATGTTGTACACTTGTATTTTACCTGCCGTATAGACTGTACTTACACAATTGACAGTGTTTTTTGTAAATCACTGCTATTGTTAGTTATGTAATTTAATAATTGTTTACACAGTTTTATAATTCCCTGGGTAATTCCTTTACATTGTATATAATTGTACCTGTAGTTTTCAGGTCACAGGTTTTTGACATTTTACTGTGATTGACATTTCATTGTCATTTATCAATGTTTTACGCTTGTCATTGACTGTTCCATTTTTTGTTTTGTTAGTTGTGTTCCTCACTGCCAACTTGCTAGGCCTGCAGCAGCTTCACTGTGCAGTGTTCTGTGTGTTGATTGACTGTTTCACACACCTGGGGATGCTTAGACTCAGAGCATACACTGCAGTATTCTTCTTGTTCATGTTCACCGTCTGTAAACTTTGGTGGAAAGTTCTGGTTGTTTGTCCACTTCTGTACTTTAGTCTTATTCCAGAACTTGAGTTCTGCATACACATCCATTTTAAAGGTCTAGAAAGGTGGCTTAATTTCTACATGAACTGTTGGCTTCTTGCCTCTCAAACCAGTGCACTCTGACCTCAAAGCAAACATCCCTTATTACTCAACCTTTAGGACATGCTTGTGAGGGGGCAGTGGATCTGTTCTGTTGTGCCCCACACTGGGGCCCTGGAACCCACACTGGGGCCCTGGAACCCACACTGGGGCCCTGGAAATCACACTGGGGCTCTGGAACCCACACTGGGGCCCTGGAACCCACACTGGGGCCCTAGAACCCACACTGGGGCCCTGGAAACCACACAGTGACAGTGCTGGATAATTAGCACAGTCTGAAGGCTCCACAAATACCAGGCCACACAATTATGTTGTGTGGAAGCCAGCACTCTCTCTCTCTCTCTCTCTCTCTCTTCTGTTTATTTCAGTCCTTGACATGTCACTGGTTGTCATTTCATGAGATGTATCTGACAGAGGTCTTAGTTTAACCAGCCAGTGCCCCACTGACGATGACTGAACTCCGCCCACTGTTTTGGTAAGCTTCTGCACTAACCACCCCCCCCCCCCCAACCCATCACAGTTATTTGTCCTTGTTGTCTCTATCATTTTCTGTCTACTTCAGGATGTAAAGAACAGCTTCCTATGTTTCTTGTATCACACACACACACATATATATATGCACACATACCCTCTCTCTCTCTCTCTCTCTCTCTCTCTCTCTCTCTCTCTCTCTCTCTTGTCTCCAAGATCAATGTACAGTCCTGCTTCACGGAGTTGCCCCCTGTGTGATCCCTGTGTTGGCAGGTTGTCTGTTGCTGACTGCAGCTGACCAACTGTAGCCACAGATCTGTTGGCAGGTTGTCTGTTGCTGACCAACTGTAGCCACTTATCTGTTGGCAGGTTGTCTGTTGCTGACTGCTGCTGACCAACTGTAGCCACAGATCTGTTGGCAGGTTGTCTGTTGCTGACTGCTGCTGACCAACTGTAGCCACAGATCTGTTGGCAGGTTGTCTGTTGCTGACCAACTGTAGCCACTTATCTGTTGGCAGGTTGTCTGTTGCTGACTGCTGCTGACCAACTGTAGCCACAGATCTGTTGGCAGGTTGTCTGTTGCTGACTGCTGCTGACCAACTGTAGCCACAGATCTGTTGGCAGGTTGTCTGTTGCTGACTGCTGCTGACCAACTGTAGCCACAGATCTGTTGGCAGGTAGTCTGTTGCTGACTGCTGCTGACCAACTGTAGCCACAGATCTGTTGGCAGGTTGTCTGTTGCTGACTGCAGCTGTCCAACTGTAGCCACAAATCTGTTGGCAGGTTGTCTGTTGCTGACTGCAACTGTCCGACTGTAGCCACAGATCTGTTGACAGGTTGTCTGTTGCTGACTGCAGCTGTCTGACTGTAGCCACAGATCTGTTGGCAGGCTGTCTGTTGCTGACTGTAGCTGTCCAACTGTAGCCACAGATCTGTTGGGAGGTTGTCTGTTGCTGACTGCAGCTGTCCAACTGTAGCCACAGATCTGTTGGGAGGTTGTCTGTTGCTGACTGCAGCTGTCCAACTGTAGCCCCAAATCTGTTGGCAGGTTGTCTGTTGCTGACTGCAACTGTCCGACTGTAGCCACAGATCTGTTGGCAGGTTGTCTGTTGCTGACTGCAGCTGACCAACTGTAGCCACAGATCTGTTGGCAGGTTGTCTGTTGCTGACTGCAGCTGTCCAACTGTAGCCACAGATCTGTTGGGAGGTTGTCTGTTGCTGACTGCAGCTGTCCAACTGTAGCCCCAAATCTGTTGGCAGGTTGTCTGTTGCTTACTGCAGCTGACCAACTGTAGCCACAGATCTGTTGGCAGGTTGTCTGTTGCTGACTGCAGCTGTCCAACTGTAGCCACAGATCTGTTGGGAGGTTGTCTGTTGCTGACTGCAACTGTCCGACTAGCCATAAATCTGTTGGGAGGTTGTCTGTTGCTGACTGCAGCTGTCCAACTGTAGCCCCAAATCTGTTGGCAGGTTGTCTGTTGCTGACTGCAACTGTCTGACTGTAGCCACAGATCTGTTGGCAGGTTGTCTGTTGCTGACTGCAGCTGACCAACTGTAGCCACAGATCTGTTGGCAGGTTGTCTGTTGCTGACTGCAGCTGTCCAACTGTAGCCACAGATCTGTTGGGAGGTTGTCTGTTGCTGACTGCAGCTGTCCAACTGTAGCCACAGATCTGTTGGGAGGTTGTCTGTTGCTGACTGCAGCTGTCCAACTGTAGCCACAGATCTGTTGGGAGGTTGTCTGTTGCTGACTGCAGCTGTCCAACTGTAGCCACAGATCTGTTGGGAGGTTGTCTGTTGCTGACTGCAGCTGTCCAACTGTAGCCCCAAATCTGTTGGCAGGTTGTCTGTTGCTGACTGCAACTGTCCGACTGTAGCCACAGATCTGTTTGCCAGCTATTAGAGATAACATCAGGCACTAGAACCCTGCCAGCTGTACACTGATTCAGGAGACACGAGCCACCAGTCATCATCTTGACAGAGATGGCATATTTGTCCATGTTGATATTTTTCACAGCAGTTTGACAAGCTTGTCTGTTGGAGAATTTGGTACTGTTTTGTTCTACATCTTGAATTACATAATTCTTGCTATTTATGTCAATTTCTGTTTGCAGTTACTGTTTTTAACAGAGTGAATGTTGTAT